CTCGGATTGGTTCCGGATAACTTTGGGGCTTGGACGTGATCTCGAACAAACAGCTGCGATATTGTTTAGAAGCCGTCACCGGCTGGGACGAGACTTTTGATATAATGTAACGGCGCAGGTAAGGCAGGTCGGATCTGTTTCGGTCGTAGGATCACTCAGAGGCATATGGGAGTGCGTGGGATCACAAAGAGCCTAGATTCAACAAGCCACCTATAGGCCTTGTACGAAAGGATATCAAAAGTCTACAGAGCTAGCTACAGGGAGTGTCTCAATATATACCTATCCTAGTCGGGTCCGAATTCGGATCCGACCTCGGGCGAATGGCTGATGAAGGGCGGCAGGTACTTCCTCCGATCCGGCTCTGGGATTGGCTCAATACTTGGCGAAGTTGTAACATCGTTACACAACCCGGCATCTGTGCGAGGCCTGAGCGGCGCCCAGACGACGCGCTCAGACACTCGGTGCAACCTTTCTCCGACAAGTAAATAAACACCACGCAAGTAGACTCTATAGCTCTCTATCGAATACAACCTCTTGTATACCTCGCGATTGCTCCCCAGAGCGCAGCCCCTTACAGTAGTGCGGGCGTTGCAAGCAGACTAGACACAACGCTTATACCTACGTAGTTAAGATAGATAGTATAAGTAATAGTAGTAATTCTAATAATTAATCTAGTGTATTGCAATAGTTTATTAACTATAATAAAAAACTATAATAACGTGTTGATGTAGATGTAGTGATGGGGCGTTAGCGACTCGCTTGGGTTAGCGACTCACTTGTGAACCACGTTATTCCATATCTTGCAACAATGTCTTTTCACAACGAGTACTTGGAAAGATTTTGATGATACAACCAACTTATTTTTTTCTTCTCATTCTATTGTTCTCAAAGTCGGAGTAATGTGTCTAGGAAGAAACAACTTTAACCATGCATCAAAAAGTCACCCCCTTTTCACTTGCATCAAGTCATCAGACCAGGCCTACGACGGAAGCTAGATAAATACCAAGCAACCATCCTGATTGCTGATCCTCTCATCAAGGTTAATCTCCCTGAGCCTCCACTGTCCATGACCCTCAAGCTCAGCCTCCAGACGCTGGCCACCGGCACTCAAGCGAACGTTTCGCGCCGAATGGCCAAAGCCGCCGTTGCTTCCGCCACTACCACCAGAACCAGGGATTCTCAGGTTCTGGCCGGGCCAGATCTGGTCGGCATTGGCAATGTTGTTGTGGCGGGCAATGTCTTCGTACGAGCAGTGCGAGTAGCGGGCCGCAATGGCGCGGAGAGTGTCGCCCTGCTGGACCGTGTAGCTGCTCTCGCCTCCGCAAGAGCCGCCGCCGGAGCCCGACCACGAAAAGGAGCCGTCAATGTTGGCGAGATAGCGGTTCAGCGGGAGGGAAGACGCTTGGTAGGAGCCGTCTGCGCGGCGGCACTGGGCGTGCAGGACAAAGTCGCCGTGGGCGTCGATGCGGATGTCGCGCGACGAGGCAGTAAAGTTTCCGCCAAAGTCGCCCATGGAGCGTTGACCGGAAGACGAAGAGTGCGACTGTTGTTGTTGTTGTTGGGGTGGCGGGGGGCCGCCGTGGTGTTGTTGGCCGTATTTCTTGCGGCGTTCCTCTTCTTCCTCCCACTTCTTGCGTTGCTCTTCTTCCTTCTTCTTTTCCTTGTGCTCGTCCCAGCGCTCCTCGGCTGCATCTTGCGTCTTACTGCCTGCAAAGGCACCGGCGAGGGCGCCAATGATGGTGCCCGCGGTGCCGTGGCCGGCTTTGCCGCCTAGAGCGTGGCCACCGTAGCCTCCTGCTGCGGCTCCAGCTATGCCGCCCATGATGCCACGCTCACCCTCTGGGTCGCCTTCGCCGCCATATTGGTTCTGGTGGCCCTGGTTGTGCGAGTTGCGAGGGTGGCGGTGACGGTGGGGCTGTGGCTGTGGCTGTGGCCATTCATGCAACGCAATGCTGTCCCTTGTCCCAGCTTTGCTGGCTCCCCCCCCCCCCCTCCAGTTCCGGGTTGCATATTTAGTCTGCGTCGGCCGCCCTCTTGACCGGCTGTCTTGAACCTTCTGCAAACAGCCCCTCTTCTGCTACAAACCCCCCATCCATCTTGCCGCTTTTCAATTTCCCCCTCCCCGACACACAACCCTGAGCATTGGTTGCTTGGCATCATCTTTACGAGCCCGCAACCTCCGCACCACCTTGGCAACGTCCGATTCGAGCTTTTGCAGCTGGCCTCTCCTCTGTCTTGAACTGCGGCTACCCCGGGTACCAAATCTCCGGATCTTCGGGTCCCCTACAACGAGTTGGGTAACGGCACGTATCGATAGTCCGATAACTTAAACAATATGTCTGGATACGGATACGAGGGCGGGTACAACAACCAGGGAGGAGGCGGCTACCAGCAAGGCGGCGGTGGTTACGGCCAACAACAGCAAGGATATGGACAGCAAGGATACAATGGTAGTGGTGAAGGATATCAGCAACCCCATCACCAGCAGCAGCAGCAGCCGCCGTACCAAGGCGGTGGTGCAGCCAGCCAGTACTATGGCGGTGGTCAAGGGGGCGGTCCTCCTCAAGGCTACCCTCCCCAAGGCGGCCATGACTCTGCTCCCCCCCAGTACCAACAATATCCCTCTACCGCCACGCACTCGTCCAACTCGGGTGGAGAGGGGAGGGGCAGTGCAGGCGCAGACACTGGGGCGCTATCGTGGTCCAATGGCGGGCAGGCGCTAGAGCGTCGCCGCGCCACGGAACACACGGCCACACTGCGGCGCAAAGGTACTGGGTACGCCGGGCTGGGCGACTAATCGCGCGCCATTACGTAGGCGCATGTGGCTGATGGCGACGATTGGCAGGCAGTGCTTCCGCCCCATCGCTTGCTGTGACGCTAAGAGGCTTGATGGCGACACTCGTGGCACCGCGTCGAGCCTGAGGAGCCGGACCAGGCGTGCGAGTAGGCTAGACATCCACCTAGGCGTCATGCTATCTGCGAATCTAGTGTACACCAAACACCCGAGGCACAAAACACGGCGCGCGCATGATGAACAAGACAAACTTTTCGGGGCTCCGTGGACACTGCGTTTTAGCTACCGAAGACGCAGACTAGCAACAGGACGCGCGACATGCGAAAGATGCGTGGGGATGCGAAACGCCGGGCAAATGCATCGCTTGAAAAATAACCAAGGAAATACATGACGTTTGGATAAAAAAGGATGAAGCATTATCAACGGGATATGTACAGGAAACAGACAAAGAGAGCGAGCTAAGAAAGTTATGTTTGTTATAGATACAGGCAAGCAAACCGACAGTGTCCATGTATGGTAAAGATGGTGGGTGCACACTGGCATGCCCCTAGTCGTGAAGCCCGATACACTCCTCCATGGCGCCGTGGGTAGCGGCCAAGCGTAGCGTATCCAAGCGATTGCCTCGAGCGTGGCAGAGTAGGCCGGCGAAGTAATCTGATTAGCGTTTCTCAAAGACAAAGAAATCATCAACAAGGACTCGCCCTGAGCCCGTTAATACGTGAAAGCTTCTTCTATGAAATCCACCGTGCCCTCGGTGAGCAGCGGCCGCACGGCATATCGCACGCCGTCGGCCATGCCACCAGACGCGCACACGGTGACTGCCATGGCGCCAACACGATGCCTGGCCTCCTCTTCCAGCAAGCTCTTCATGTTGGGCCGGCCGCTGTACATCTTGACAGTATCGCTGCTGTTCTCGACGCGGCCCTTGGGTCTTGAGATGAAGAGCTTGATGCGGAGGCACTGCTTGCGCCCCTTCATGCGGAGCACCTCGTCCATCCACGGGCGGACCCACTCCAGACAGTCCGACGAGGGCACTGTCCAGATGAGGACAATCTTTTGTGTCGCAGTGGTGCCGTTGTTGAAGCCCTCGACGAGGTGCTTGAGGTACATGACCTGGTGCGTGATGCCGACACCGCCAGCAAAGAGCACGGCGGTGCCGTACGAGTCGAGGCTGTGGTGGCCGCCGTATGGGCCCTCGATGAAGCCCCATGTGGTGAACTGCTCGTTGGGGCTCTTGCATGCCTTCTCGTACATGTGGCGCGTGAGGCCTGTACGCGCACGGCAGATGAGGCTGATTTGCTTTGATTTTCTCGGCTTGCCGTAGATGGTGGCAACGTCGCCCTCGAGCATGGGAAGCGTCATCTCCTTGGAGTCTTCCGTCAGCGCCGCAGCCCAGGCGACGGAAAACGGATGCGAAGACCAGAGGGAGAGGGCGGGCATCCACATGTGCACATGGCACCCGGGGCGGGGCGTCCATTCACGGACCATGTTGATGGTGACGCGAACGGCCTCGCCAGGCATGGCCTCGACAGTGACGGAAGATCGTTGCTTCAGGCTGAAGCCGTAGTAGAGAATCGAGAGGGATCGGCAGAGCCACTCTCCGCCCCAGAAGACGAAGACGAGGTGCATCCATGGCACCTGGGGGAGGTGGTGCATGTCCAGGTGCTTGTACAAGCCAATGAAAGCGGCAATCACAACCAGGCGGTGGATGTTGAGAAACGTCTCGTAGAAAGCGTGGCGAAATGGTGACCAGGCCTGGATGCCGAGAAAGGTAAAGGCGACGGTTCCGACCATGCCCCATCCGTACGAGCCCTCGAGGTGGAGGCCAGCCACGACGGCACCCCATCCTCCTCCTGACTTGGTGTTGTACACCCACGCGGCAGTGTGGACAATGGCCTCGGCGATGGTGATGCGGGCAGCCCAGCGGTGGAACAGGTTGAAGTCATCGTACGAGACCTGGAGAAGCGAGATGAGGGGGTTGTTGCGGAGGGCGAAGAGGACGGTTGGGATGAGGTTCAGGGCAGCGAGGGTTCCGGAGCGTCCGCGGAGAGCGGCGAGGGTTTGCCTGTGGTCGAGCACGTCATAGGGCAGGGCGAGACACCATGCGACGTTGAGGCCGACGTAGATGACGAGCAGGATCGTGTGCCATCGTCCGGGCAGTGTTCCGTTGTCAATGGCGCTGCTAATCTGGAACTGGGCGTTGTGCTTCTTCTTCCACAGCGGGGCGACGAGGACATGGCGGTTGAGCCAGGGCCACCAGCTTGTCTTGTTGGACTCCCAGTACTTTTGGCGTGGGTTGCCCATTGCGCTGAGGTGTCGGTTGTGCTTCCACCACATGTTGCATATGCGCAGGATAAGGAGTACTGCTGACGTCGCCAGGAGCAGGTAGAGAAACGTGTCGACCCATAGGAAGTTGCCCACTTGGTCCACGCCAGCAAGACCGTACGAGTACTTGAGGTCTTCGAATTTGGCCGCATCCCAGTCGGAGAGGAGGTGGCGCTTGCTGGCGGGGGCGGTGGCTCTCCGTGAGCCTAGGAAACCGGAGAAAGACATTGTGTAGGAGCGTGGTGAGAGAGAGAGAGAGAGAGAGAGAGAGAGGTTGTGTGCAGGGGGGTGGATTGCGCGTAGTGAATGTCGGTTGGCACTACCAGGTGATGCGGGTGAGGGACACAGTGGTGAGGCCGGGAAGGATAAGGTGACGTTGTTGTCTAAGTTGGTGATCCCACGGGGCGCTTCAAGAGTCGGAAAGCAGAAGCGATTGGCGTTGACAATGTGGGTGGGGGAGGCGCTTGTGGTCACCGTGAATGCATTACAAAGAGTGTACTTGTCGTCGAAAAGCCGTAGTGGGTGCACAATGCGGGGGGGCGAGTCCAGAGTGGCCGGCACCGTGGAACTGTGGTGTTGAGGCGGGTGTGAATGAGCGAGTGGCGTTTGCGGCGAGAGCGTGGGCGCGGCGGGTATAGGCAACTAGGACTACAGAGGACGGTCTTGAGCGTGGCGAACCAGAATAGGTGGTGGTGGTGGCGGGCGCGCAGCAGGAGAGTAGGGCCGAGGCGTCGTGCAGTGAATGTCGTCAAAGAGAGTGTTTGTCGTGGGCGCGGCACCAGGGGTGGGATGGGTGAAGGTTAGTCGCGAGGCGCTAGAGAACACGAGCTCGGGGGGCGGGAGTGCTGACGGGGGGAGGGGGAGAAATGGGCGAGGTGAGGGCAGAAACGACAGTTGTTTGCAAGTGAGTGGTGTGTGTGTATATGTGAGGGCGAGGGCGAGGGCGAGGGCGAGGGTGAGTGGGCAGGCTCCCGTAGCGAGTGAGGAGCGAGGAACCGGGCGGGCACAGGGCAGGGAACGAAGGTGTAGGCAGAGAGCCAGGCGACAGGGACGGCGAGCGTGAAGGGCGAGGGGGAGCGAGGGAAACAGTGGATAAGAAGGTCCCACGAGAAGAGGCGTGATGGAGGGCGGCAGGGGTGCCAGGGGGTGGATGGCGGCGACATGGAATGGGACATGGGACATGGGCATGGGACATGGGGGGCGTGTGCTGGGCGCGCTGGGGGGGGCGACGGCACAGGCGGACGATTGGCTGTACCTGGCTAACCGCTGAAACGGGGCGAGGGCAGCTGGCCACTCAGGCCCGCGTGCCTGAGAGTGCCATGAAACCAAGCAACCAAGCCTCAGCTCACCGTCACGACATGCACCCAGCCCGCGGGCGCTTCTGGGCGACGACTCGATTCGACTCGACTCGACGCGACGCAACGCGACTTGACTGGAATGGACGGCAGAGGGTGAGGTGATGCGAATGTGAGCATCCAGTCGAGTGCCGACTCCCGGCTGCTGTCGATCGAGCCAGCCAGCCAGCCAGCCACGCCCATGACCACTGCGACGACGACGACGACGACGATGATGATGACGATGACGATAACGATGACTGCAACGACGACTGTTATCACTGCCAGCCCGCATCGACGGCATCTCGCCCATGGCCGCCGTTGTGTTGAGGATAGCGACGAGAGTGACGACGACAACAACAACACCACCACCACCACCACCGCCGCCGCCATCACGACGCCCAAGTCCTCCGCCGGCGTCGTCGCCCGCCACTTCCGCCGTGCACGCGTGCGCCGACGCCGTGCCCATCGTATGCCATGTGCGGCTCTAGGCCAGCGCCCAAAGGAGACTGCCAAGCGAGTCATCTTGTTCTCCCATGTTCTGCCATCCCGGGGCAGATCACTGACGAGGCCGTTATGCTGCACCCCTGGGGCCATCTCGTTGCGACCTCAGGCCTCGTGCTGCCGAGGCTGCCAAATCTCCACCGTGCTGCCCCTCTCTGGCGCTGCTGGCACTGGCACTGGCACTGGCACTGGCACTGGCACTGGCACTGGCACGCGCGACGCCCGTCTGCCCACCTGGGCGCTTGCTGCTGGCTGCTGGCTGCATGTACATGTACGTATCTACCTATGTAATGTACAGTACACTCTGGCAACCCCCCGTCTGACCTGGCGACTAGCTCTCGACTGGCGGCCGAACAGGAACAAGCTCCATACCATAAGCCGGCCACGGCACCCAAGGCGGACACGGCTCCTGGGCGGACAAGGACTTGGTGGGCATAATTCGCTGCAGCGCATAACAGCTTTTTTCATGCGCCGACGTCTGCGCCACCGCCCCTAACCACGAGGTGGCACTGTCGCCCTGCATCCACCGCGCCCTCCGCCCATGGCAGCCTCCTCGTGCACACACTCGTCCATCCACCCACACATGCACACCTCTTCCTTCACCTCCATCCACCTGTATACACTCGCCCGCCCCATTGTGCACTCATCCTCCCGCCCCGTGTGCGCGCGCGCTTGGTTCGCTGCAGCACGGCCGCCATGTCTGCCAATCTCCCCACTGGTGCCGCCCATCCCTCGCATCCAATATTGCCGCTCTTCACCGCCACACCCACCCGCCGCTCCTCCGCCCCCCCCTCCCATGACACACCTGTGCCTGCAACCACCGCCCGCTCCGAATTCACATGCAAGGCTCCCGTTGTGAACGAGCCCAGGCCACCATATCCGCACCACAATGGCGCGCAGAGAACACGTCCACAGCCTTCCAAGACATCGCTTACCCGGCTGTCGGGTCTAGTGCCATGCAACCTCCGAGTACCAAGTCTTCTGGGCAATTCGTCGCAAATTGCCCGCTCTCATCGGCCTCGCCTGGCCAATGGCGCCAAAGCAAAACAAAGTCCCACTAGCCGAAAGAGTTGCAAGAGTCGACAGGGAAACAGGAGCGTCGGAGAGAGAGAGACAGTAATTCTCCCGTTACACACCCGCCCCCGTTGCATGCCACATCCGATGCGCGATCCAGTGCGCAATCCAGTGCGCGATCCAATGCGTCGGTTCGTGCCGTCTGTCTGCGCTCGGCTGTCGTCTTGTCTTGGCGTCAGCTGGTTTCAAAACACCAGCGCCGGAACGAACCCCTCTGTGCTCGCCGTGACTCGCCAATCCTCACGATAACGTTGAAACATCTGTTCATGCGCCACCTGCTTGGACCCCACCCGCTGTCAAACAATAGCGCCTGCTGCGTAGCACTCCCTCAGCGAATCCTTCGTCACCGCATGAACTCGTGGAGTTGTCAAAACACAATACCAATATTGCAAGGCCGTTGCATCCCCCACGCCACACGTACATTCGCCCGCACGCCTGACTCCGCCGGAGATGACTAGGTTCCACGTTTGACAGGGCCTCTCTGAATACCCAAAGAGAAACACTATCCACGTCGGAACTCACTCCGAGAGACTCTGGCTTCAACACAGACCGCCACACACTGATCCTCTTCACCGGCCTTACTTGGACATGGTACACCTGCATTTGCTTCTTCTACCAACACCAACACCGGCAAGGCTATACCGCTCATGTCGGACCACCGACGACTACCTTGGCAAAGGCCAGACCCAGACCCTCCCATGTGCGTCCCAGACACCACGACACCGGAATCGCCAGTCTGGGACCGAGCGGAGGAGCAATGACCGTGACCGAGAACACCCTCCAAGCCACATCCAGCCCTACCTGTCATTTTGAGGCGTATACCCTCAGGCACGTCATGCATACACATGCTGTACTGTCATTCAACTAACCCCCCACCAGCCAAAACCCACATCCCAGCCACAATCTGTAGGCCGTCCAACTAAGCCATAAAACTACTCAAAATCCCTACCTCATGCCTCTACTCGTCGCCCACCCACCTAGCTCCTACATAACCTGAAACAAATACCCAAACCACAAAGCCCACATAACCCCATCGATTCCTAATCCCATCTCAGCTCAATCTCCGTGTCACTGAGTCCTCCCAATTGCCTAAACAGAATCCTTCCATTCCCTCTTTCCACCACTCGGCACCTACCCGCACACCTGAAACACCGTCTTTGCTCAATACATGGAAAATTTCCCTTTTTGCCTGTCATTTTTTTTAAACTCACGTATTCACCCCCTTGTCTAGGCCCTTTTTTTTGTGTTCCAACCCCGCCCCACCGGGCGCAGCAGCCCATGTGTAGGCTAAACTTCGCAAAAACTTCTGGCAACTTCTGAGACTCGCCAAGACACCACTTTTAATCTAACACATACACGGCTTAACGCCCTTGCTGCGAGTATAACCGTCTTGACTTTTTTTGTCTCTCTTAAAATCATGCCCTGTTTCGTTCATTAGCTATCTCGCTTGCTGCTGGCTTGATACATGTATATCCGCTATATGGGCTAAATGCAATAAATCCCAAGATTGAAATATATAATTAATCAAAAAAAATACTGCCACTCGCGCCTGATGCTCGCCTGAGAATTATGTATGCATTGAACGCCACCCACCCCCCATGCTATGGATATGGAGTACTTGCAACAGCTTTTTCCCCCATTCAAAGCATTAGACGCGCTGCTCTCGTGGTCGTATTTTACTACATCCCGCATCCCGCATTCCCAACTCCCAACTCCCAATTCTACCCTTTTTCCCCGTTCTCCCATCTGCCTTGTTTCACCTCTACCTCTACCTCTACCTCATCGTGTCTCGCCTCGCCTCGCCTCACCTCGCCTCGCCCTTATCCCAACCTAGAAAAAACAAACTTTTCCCCCTTGTGTACCCGACGCACAGTAGCCGCGAACAGCGAAATAACAGTACCCATTGACACTGACGAGAAGGGCACACGGCGAACAGCCCACTGACACTAACACTAACACTGACACTTGGCAGTCCTCTACATGTTCGCCTCGGCCTTGCCTTTGCCTTTGCCTTGCCTTGCCTTACCTAGCCTTACCCTAGCCTTACCCTAGCCATCCGTAACCCCCCGTAACCCCATTTCTCCAAACGGGACAAACGGGAGAAACACTACAAACGGAGCCCGACTCCCCAAAAAGGCCGAAAAAAAGGGCACAAAAAAGGTTGTCGAGAACGAAAAAAGATCTAGAACAAAGAATGTGAAACGAGACGAGACGAAACGAAACGAAACGACACGGATCGAGACAAGGGGAGATGGACTTGGAGTTGGAGTTGGAGTGATGTGCGGTGGCTGCTTATGTATCTGTATATGTGCGTGTATGTATGTATGTATGTATGTATCTAAGAAAGACAAGAGAAAGACTATACTATACACAAACACAACCACAACCACATACACAAACAAGTAAAGCAAAAAAAACCGGCAAAAACGCAGAGACACAGCAGACAGCAGAGCGTGAAGGGGGGGGGGCATCAGCGGCGAGGGGGGCCCGTATGTAAGCGTAAGCACTACACAGCACATTACATCACATTTAGTTTAGTCGATCAAGGGGGGGGGAGGGGGGGTGTTATATTTTGGATTTGTGGATTTTTGGGATTTGGGTTTGGTTATGCCGAGTCCCTTTTTTTTGGAGTCTTGTGTACTGTGCTTGTTTGGTCATGTTGTGCTTGGTACTGCTGCTGCTGCTGTGGTGTCGAAGCGCCATTCATTTCCACCCATTGCCCCAACCCCCTTTACTGATTATTTCCCCATCTCCAGTTTCTCCATTTCCCTTCTCCCCTCTCCATCCGCTTCCAACACACAAACCTGCCTACTGTACCTGCTCCATCTCCATGTACAAACCCAAGTACGCATACAATACGTGCTTATGTGCATATATGTATGTATGTATGTATATCGATAGCGACATGCGTAGCTAAATGAAAGGGGAGGAATCGGTCCACTTAAGCCTACACCTAGTAAATACTAAGACAAGCTTGGCAACACAAAGTTGGAGCCCAAACAAAATTATTGCGAGCGCGCACCCTACCTTACCCTTGTATATATATATATATATGTGTGTGTGGGTTAATTAAGGTGAGGGGGGGGAGGGGGGGAATGGGGTAGACCAGCCACGGATAAAGTCAAAAATGATATTAGAAAACAAAAAAGATATAGTTAAGTAAGATAAGAAATATCAACAAATCTAAGGGAAGGGTATAGGGAATAAACGAGATTGTTGGTGAGATTACTATAAGATGAGGTGGGGAAAAAAAGAAATCTTAAATACTTAGTCCTTACATTAAGTCTAACGTATTCCATCACCGAGCGGGCCACATCACCGAGTGTGCCACTTTTTCTTGGCATCACGAACTTCATGTACGAAAACTTAGATTACTCTACACTAGCTATAGATGCTTCGTACGACTTACTTGTATCTAAAAGAGAATCTTCTTCTACATCTTTCTAGCACGTACGAGAGTTATGGCCTGTCCTCCCACAGGTTCTACAGTGCCGTTGACCTGGTAGGGCCCTTTCTTGACTACCCTCACCACGTGCCTTCTTTGATGTCGTACGACCAGCAGAACTACTTTCAGCTACCTGCGATGCCCCTGCACCAAAGTCTAGTGTCCCACCTGTCTGAATTCGCTTTCTTTTGCGCCCTCGGCGCTTTGTTACTGCTGCTAATTGCTCTTCAAGCTCTCTTACGCGGGCCTTTATAAGC